TATAATTGGTAAAAATAGTTTAAAGGACAGGAAACTTGCTAAAGTTTTTAATTTTATTAAATATGGGTGGCCAAAAACTGTTGAAGCTGACTTAAAACCATATTTTAATAATAGATTTTGTTTGTCAATTGTACATAATTGTATTATGTATGGGTATAGAGTTGTTATACCGAATGATTTACAAGGTATGGTTTTGAAAGAGCTTCACAGTTCACATATGGGTATGGTGAAAACAAAAATTTTGGCTAGGTCATATGTGTGGTGGCCAAGCATAAATTATGATATAGAAAATTCTGTAAAAGCTTGTTCAGTTTGCTCAAGTTTAAGGAGTAATCCTCCTAAAGCGGAACTTATTAATTGGGAATACCCTCATGGTCCATGGGAAAGGCTACATATCGACTATTTGGGTCCAATTTTTGGTAAAAATGTTTTTGTTGTGGTAGATGCTTATTCAAAGTGGCTTGAGGCTTTTGTTGTTAAAAATACTAGTTCTACCACCACAATAAATATATTAAGAAGTTTGTTTGCAAGGTATGGATTGTGTCAACAAATAGTATCAGACAATGCAACAAATTTTTCATCGGCAGAGTTCAACAAATTTTTGAATTTCAATGGTGTTAAACTTAAACACAGTCCTCCTTACCATCCTTCCACTAATGGTGCTGCTGAAAATAGCGTAAAAACTATTAAATTGGCTTTAATAAAAGCTGTCAAATCAAATATTAATGATTTAGATTTGGCCTTAAACCGATTTTTAATAAATTATCGAAACACACCTCATTGTACTACTGGAGAAATACCATCAAAATTATTAATTGGCAGAACATTGAGGAGTAGACTTGATTTATTGCTACCAAAAACTGAAATCAGTAAGAATGTGCCAAATGGTGTAAGTAAAAATTTATTAAAACAAAAACAAAATTATAAAGGTAAAAGAAATAAAACATTTTTGGTACATGATGTTGTGTTGGTAAAAGATTACAGAAATACCCAAAAACCTGTATGGATTAAGGGAATAATAAAAAAAGTATTAGGCCCTAGGACATATTTGGTTTTTATACCTGACATAAACAAAAATTGGCACCGACATCTTAATCAAATATTAGAATATGGTAGTTTTAGTGATAGTTTTAAGGGGGAGGAACAAAGTAGTTGTGTAAGAGAAAGGGGATTTAAAAATAAGGATGATGAAAATATTTTTGATTTAGATAATGATCTATGTTTAGATAAGTTTTTTGAAAGTAATTCCAATAATGCGGATATGTTGCGTAGAGGTACTCGGGTAAGAAAAGAACCTGAGAGATTAGTCTATTGGAATTATTTACAGAAGATTTAAAGGGGGAGGTATTGTAATGTATTTAAAATATATCAAGAATTAATAGTTTTTTAAGTTCGTTTTTATTAAGTTTTTTTATATACAATTTTATTGGTTTGTACGCACACTTGTTTGTTAGCTGTTGAGTTGTGAAGACATAAATAAATATAATTGAAAAGTTTATAAAAGTGTTTAATTATTACAAGTCAAATTAGAGTTATAAAGAAATAAGTAAGGACATCACAGGGTCAATCTAACAATGTCCCACGTATATGCTTTGGTCGGTCTTCACGCCTGTTTTTTGGGTAGGGCACTGACTTCCATGAGCTATCCCAATTGGATGGCTCGGAGAATGCAAGCCTTCTCCAGTGCATTAGGGGTGGAATCAGACGAAGGGGTATATGATATGCTACAGCCAGGGTTTTCATACTGTGCATCATCGTATGCTTGGCTCTCTTCAAAAAGAAAGATTCGCCGTGTTTTGTTCAAAGATATCGAGAATACTGCGAGTTCCTCCACTAATCGCTTGCTAGCCACCGCTTATAAGACAAGTCTGGTCTACTTAGCAGGAACAGAAATGTCAATGTTTATAATGATATTTAGATATATTCTCTGTGAGAATCCAATTTTGTTAGCTTGGAATGAGGTGGCAAAGCATGCGGACAAGCTCATCGCAGCTTTCGACAAATGGGTCAAGTTAGGCAAGTCGGCCCCTTACTGTAAACTCTTATACACGGAGGAAGAGTGCACGGAGTTCAACCGTAAGCATCTTAGTATATTCAGCGACATAGCTATAGCGATCGCGAAGCAAGAGGGGATGAAGTCCCTACAAAATTACAAAGGAGTATATGACACAGATACCATCTCTCCGATAGTGAGGACGGCACTCATGATCGCGAAAATGTACGGCGGGGCTCAAACGCACATCACTAACGACATGTTGGGTACCATACTGATTCCCAATGGGAACAATGACTTGAAACAAGCATTGGTAGTTGGTGCGGATTTACAAGCCCTTAAAGCTCCACAGATCGACAATACTGAAGAGGGAGGTGGGGGTCAATCTAACAATGTCCCACGTATATGCTTTGGTCGGTCTTTACGCCTGTTTTTTGGGTAGGGCACTGACTTCCATGAGCTATCCCAATTGGATGGCTCGGAGAATGCAAGCCTTCTCCAGTGCATTAGGGGTGGAATCAGAGGAAGGGGGATATGATATGCTACAGCCAGGGTTTTCATACTGTGCATCATCGTATGCTTGAATCTCTTCAAAAAGAGAGATTCGCCGTGTTTTGTTCAAAGATATCGAGAATACTGCGAGTTCCTCCACTAATCGCTTGCTAGCCACCGCTTATAAGACAAGTCTGGTCTACTTAGCAGGAACAGAAATGTCAATGTTTATGTTGATATTTAGATATATTCTCTGTGAGAACCCAATTTTGTTAGCTTGGAATGAGGTGGCAAAGCATGCGGACAAGCTCATCGCAGCTTTCGACAAATGGGTCAAGTTAGGCAAGTCGGCCCCTTACTGTAAACTCTTATACACGGAGGAAGAGTGCACGGAGTTCAACCGTAAGCATCTTAGTATATTTAGCGACATAGCTATAGCGATCGCGAAGCAAGAGGGAATGAAGTCCCTACAAAATTACAAAGGAGTAGATGACACAGATACCACCTCTCCGATAGTTAGGACGGCACTCATGATCGCGAAAATGTACGGCGGGGCTCAGACGCACATCACTAACGACATGTTGGGTACCATACTGATTCCCAATGGGAACAATGACTTGAAACAAGCATTGGTAGTTGGTGCGGATTTACAAGCCCTTAAAGCTCCACAGATCGACAATACTGAAGAGGGAGGTGGGGGTCAATCTAACAATGTCCCACGTATATGCTTTGGTCGGTCTTCACGCCTGTTTTTTGGGTAGGGCACTGACTTCCATGAGCTATCCCAATTGGATGGCTCGGAGAATGCAAGCCTTCTCCAGTGCATTAGGGGTGGAATCAGAGAAAGGGGGATATGATATGCTACAGCCAGGGTTTTCATACTGTGCATCATCGTATGCTTGAATCTCTTCAAAAAGAGAGATGTGCCGTGTTTTGTTCAAAGATATCGAGAATACTGCGAGTTCCTCCACTAATCGCTTGCTAGCCACCGCTTATAAGACAAGTCTGGTCTACTTAGCAGGAACAGAAATGTCAATGTTTATGTTGATATTTAGATATATTCTCTGTGAGAATCCAATTTTGTTAGCTTGGAATGAGGTGGCAAAGCATGCGGACAAGCTCATCGCAGCTTTCGACAAATGGGTCAAGTTAGGCAAGTCGGCCCCTTACTGTAAACTCTTATACACGGAGGAAGAGTGCACGGAGTTCAACCGTAAGCATCTTAGTATATTCAGCGACATAGCTATAGCGATCGCGAAGCAAGAGGGGATGAAGTTCCTACAAAATTACAAAGGAGTATATGACACAGATACCACCTCTCCGATAGTGAGGACGGCACTCATGATCGCGAAAATGTACGGCGGGGCTCAGACGCACATCACTAACGACATGTTGGGTACCATACTGATTCCCAATGGGAACAATGACTTGAAACAAGCATTGGTAGTTGGTGCGGATTTACAAGCCCTTAAAGCTCCACACATCGACAATACTGAAGAGGGAGGTGGGGGTCAATCTAACAATGTCCCACGTATATGCTTTGGTCGGTCTTCACGCCTGTTTTTTGGGTAGGGCACTGACTTCCATGAGCTATCCCAATTGGATGGCTCGGAGAATGCAAGCCTTCTCCAGTGCATTAGGGGTGGAATCAGAGGAAGGGGGATATGATATGCTACAGCCAGGGTTTTCATACTGTGCATCATCGTATGCTTGGCTCTCTTCAAAAAGAGAGATTCGCCGTGTTTTGTTCAAAGATATCGAGAATACTGCGAGTTCCTCCACTAATCGCTTGCTAGCCACCGCTTATAAGACAAGTCTGGTCTACTTAGCAGGAACAGAAATGTCAATGTTTATGTTGATATTTAGATATATTCTCTGTGAGAACCCAATTTTGTTAGCTTGGAATGAGGTGGCAAAGCATGCGGACAAGCTCATCGCAGCTTTCGACAAATGGGTCAAGTTAGGCAAGTCGGCCCCTTACTGTAAACTCTTATACACGGAGGAAGAGTGCACGGAGTTCAACCGTAAGCATCTTAGTATATTCAGCGACATAGCTATAGCGATCGCGAAGCAAGAGGGAATGAAGTCCCTACAAAATTACAAAGGAGTAGATGACACAGATACCACCTCTCCGATAGTGAGGACGGCACTCATGATCGCGAAAATGTACGGCGGGGCTCAGACGCACATTACTAACGACATGTTGGGTACCATACTGATTCCCAATGGGAACAATTACTTGAAACAAGCATTGGTAGTTGGTGCGGATTTACAAGCCCTTAAAGCTCCACAGATCGACAATACTCAATAGGGAGATGGGGCCCCGCACATACACACAGTGATGAATTAGGGGGCTGATATATCTAAAGAACTTTTCATCCATGATCCTCTAGTGTTCTCATCGACTTACAAATGAGTTCAAGCTTTGAGAATCACTTACATCTTCCAAATACTGAATACTGAAGAAAACAATAATTGTGACATGGCAGATTTTGAATATGTTTGGTTGTCTCAGGAGTTGGAAACAACCCAAAATGATAAAGGTTTGTTTAGTGGTTTGAGTCACAAAACACTAGAGTTTTATATATATATATATAAGGTTTAAATTAATAATGCTTGTATTTTAGAAAATGTTCCCTTGAATGTTCCAAGTACAAGCTTGGTAGAGGAGGATTTAAATATAAGAGAAAATTCCAAGGAAAATGAAATTTTTCATGAGAAAAACTCTCAATGTACTTTAAAATTACAAGGAAAAGTTTTAAGTAAGTAATTTTTTTTTAATTAACGTTTAATGTTTAATTTTAGAACCAACCCGAAAATGTAGCACAACCAATGGAATTAAATATAACACAATAAATTATTTGATTAAAAAAATGAAAGGGCTCATGAAGTTCGCTTAAAAGAAATTTCACTTCAAGAAAGGAAGCAGACCCTTGAAGAGAAAAAAATTGAATTAAAGCTCTTGGAAGTTAAAAAAAAATTGAAATGGATGAAAAAAAACTAGATGTTGAATTAGGAATATTCCAAAATCAACAAAAACTTATAGAAATTATATTTAATAAATTTAGTAAGTGATACTTATAACAATTGTAAGTGATACTTATAACAATTGTTATAAGTATCACTTACTAAATAAACTATTAATAGACTTTTTTCAACATTACTTCATTAGTTTTAAAGTTGAAAAACTTATATCCCATTTCCCACGCAAGTGCCAATTAACTTTTGTAAGGTTATATTTTGTGATTTTTATAGGGCTGTTTTTTTTTGTTTTTTTATAATTTATTATTTTTTATAGTAGGTTTTTTGTTTGTTTATGTATTATAAATTAGGCTATAGCCAGACTATAGGTTAATTTTATTATTTGTTATTTTTATAATAGGATTTTTTTGTAAGTTTAAACTACAACAATTGTTGAACTTACCAAATAAATAATTTTTGGTTTGTCAGAAAAAAAACACAAATAAAACTATTATAAGCTAAATTTATTTATTTCTTTATTAATTTACACCTAAATATACTTCTAATTCAGGAGGTTCAATTTCAAAATAAGTTAAGGTTTCATTTCCATACAAACATGTATGACAATTTGTTAAAATCAGGCCAACAGTATACATACGTCCAACATCTTATAAAAGAGGTTTTTGATTTTTTTTTAAATCCAGGAAGGCAAACTGTTGAATAATCTTACTAAATCCCCATTATACTGTTATTCGTAATGCACTCATAGTGACATTAAAATGTTGCCTATTTGGATCCCCACCAAGTTCATGTTGTGTATAAGGTCGCAACAAAAGCTCTCTTAAGCCATATGAATGGTCACCAAATAAAACAAATTGTTCATAAGGAAATACAGTATGCTGCTCAAGCTCAGCATAAAGCCCCGACTCTCTAAAAATCCCTGCATCATGTCTACGTCATTCATAAGGTCCTTTTAGGCTTATTACGATTCCATCTGGACAAATAACTGATTGGAATTTAATGCAGTGTGTCTTTTTATGTTCAGAGTAATAATTTTCCTGGTTAACACTTGGTCTGCATATGGGTCTTACTGTTCCATAAATAAAACCCCAACAGTTTGGAATTGGACAACCTTTTCCTGTTATAGCCTAAAATCAATTAAATTTTAGAATTTTTAGTAGACATATTATTCTTTTATTACTGGGAATACTGCATTAGCTTTTGCAAATTTAGAAAAGGAATATTTTGCAAGTTCTCTAGTAAATGACCTTTGTTCTTAGATATAATATTTAACATGTAATTAATAACACTAGAGAGAGCTGTTGAAGATAGTCCAAATAATGGCTCAAGATCCACCAATCTGTTAGGGTATGCCAACCTTCTTAACAAAATACAAAGCCCATCTAATCCTATAAACTAGAAAAAAGTAGAAACTATACAGTTATATATGCTATAAACAAAATTCTAGAAATAAAACACTTTAGTAATGCTCCTGTAGGCAATAAGTTTAATTCTTACCTGGCACTGTTATCCGTTCCTCAATGGTAATCAGCTCTGGTAAATTAAGAGCTGTAGAAAGTCTTCTTAAATGATTTTTTTCAAATCTGAAAAGCTTTCTACACTCAGTTTCGGATAAACTATTTAAATCAAAAGCGCCGTACAATTCTCTCAGATTTCCTAAATTTTTATTCTCATTGAGGATATGAAAAATTAGGGCTTCGTCCATGTCGTCGTCGTTATCACTGTCAAGTGCACCAAAATTTATAATTTCATCCATATCAAAAAAATGCTTTTAAATTTGTATGCTAACCTCTCTTTTTAACTCTAAAACGTAGGGTTATCTAAACGTCAAATGGGTAGGTTCCGCGATTTGCGGACCGCAAGTGGCTTTAAGTCGCAATTACAGACAAAACGTAACCCAGCTCGGTACGTTTGCGTCAATACGTATGTCTTGCATTTTTTACTTTGCTCTAACTCTCTATTGTCAAACAGACCTACTTATGTTCGTTGTTTTGTTTTAAGTACTTACTTTTTTCAATTTTTAAGTTTGACAGCAAAGGGCAAATATCGTTGGTCTACGAAGGTGTTTATAGTAAATAACTGCTCTAGATTTTAATAAGTAAGTAAACTATACCTTGTTTGTTTTGTTTCTAGCATACGTTAATTCTAAGTATGTACTGTGATCACTAAATACATCGCATTTAACATTTTACGAACGTAATAGTCATATTGTTGATTCTGCTAGGTTTCATTTTAAATGCGATTTTACATACTTTGTACCCCAGTTCCAGAGATTTGTCATTAAAACGTCATTCAGTATTTTTCTGTCAGTTTTAATTATTAATGTACATAGGTTACTAAGTAGCTGGTGATAATATTATTATTTTGTTTTCAGAAAAATGCCACCGAAACTAAAGTATGGGTGGTATGATTAAAAAGAGTATTTGCTTTCACTTCAAGTAAGAGCTTTTACTTCCTAGTATTTTTTGGAGTATATTCTTTTACATGAAGTAAATTCTTCCCTAATTAAAATAAGTAAGAATAAAAATATTTTGTATTTAAATAATGTTCAGTTTGCATTCGTCACATGTATATAAAACTCACCTTTGTTCGGCAAGGATTCGCCGAGAAACAGCATCCCGTTTTTGCTGACCTGCACGACGGACACCTGCCGCACAATCAGCTTGCAACGCCATACAAAAAGGTGCTCTTCGTCATCAAGATCGTCAAAATCTTCGTCAGGATCCTGCAAATGTTTAGCAACATTGTGTAGTATAAATCCTGCTAATATAAAGATACACACACTCGGTCAGTTTTTATTCGCAGAGTGTAATTAAGCATTGGGAATCGCCTTTTCAACTGTCCAAAGCAGCATTCAATTTTAAGGCTCTTTGAGGTGCTGTCAAGGGATTTTTATAAGGTACCAATAACCATGAAGCGATACCATATCCTTCATCCCCTAGCAAATACGTCCCATTATTAATCCCAGGAAAAAATGCATGAACTTCTGAATTTCTCCAAACTCTGCTGTCATGCACGCTTCCTGGCCATGATGCATCGACAGACGTAAAAATTCCTTTAGCCTGCACATTAATACTACAAAATCCTTTACGGTTAAAATATTCTTCCCCATGACTTTTTGGCTTTAATATTCTAATGTGAGTACAATCTATCGCTCCTATTGCACCAAGCATCGTCCATCCATCTTTGGCTAATTCAATTTCACGGGCGTTTTGGGGAAAAGAAATCCATTTCTTTAACACAATTTTTTGTGCAACTTCTTTAATAACTTTTGACACTGTTGTTTGATGTACCTCCATATCTACACCAACTCCTTGTTGAAACCCAGGATCACTTAGAGCTCTTAAAAATACCTCCATTTTCGTTATATTTGATAAAGCTGCTCCCCTCATCTCAACATGATTTCCTAAGAACTCATTGGCTATCCATTCAACATTATTTGCATTGAAGCTAAACGTACAGTGCTTAATAGTAGCAGCTATAACTAAAATATAATTGACTTACCGAAATAATTTTCTATATTGTACCTCCCCATACGTTCTACGTTCACATATTTCCCTCCTTTTCCTATCATAATTCATAAAAAAGCCATTTTCAACACTTTTTTAATGGAATTACCTGATGTGAAGTTACCCTATCAGTAACTTCTTATAAACTACACCAAACACTCCCAAATGGAGGAAATGCTAGACAATATAAGTAAATTCTGCAGTATAAACTTCTATATATCGAAGTAAATAAAGCAAAGCCAAGTACTTACTTTAGTATTACACTAAGAATTATGTGGAGTTAATGCTATAATTTTTGAAGTAAAAACTACAAAATGGAGCATTTACTTGAAGTAAAAGCAAATACTTTTTTTAATCATACCACCCTATGCCGGTGATTATATTAAACTGGGCTTCTCTTCAATAGGAATAAATGGGGAGATTAGACCTCAATGCGTAATATGCACAACTATTCTTGCCAATGATGCTTTAGAAACCGAACATCTGGATTACTGTGACCGTCCGCCAGAGTTCTCCGAAGGCAAACTGATAAATCTAAAAAAAATGAAACTCGGACCTAGTGGAACAAGTTATGCAACATCTGTAAAAACATTATATGCATCGTTTGAAATTTCAAAATGAATTGCCAAATCCAAAAAAGCACATACAATCGGTGAATCTCTAATAAAGCCTTGTATGCTTATAGCTTTTAGGACAGGGAGCTCAAAAGAAAATTTATCAAATACCACTTTCAAACGACACAGTGAAGTCGCGTATTCAAAAAATGTCAAATGATATTGAAGAACAAGTTATTGACAAGATAAAATGTAGTTGTTATTTTGGGCTACAATGTGATGAGTCTACCAAAGTTTGAAAAGGAACTACTTTTTTCTCAAGAAATGGAAACGACGTCTAAAGGTGCAGGTCATGGATGTAATAAGTCAATATTTCGAAAAATAGTCGAAAAAGAAAACTTTTCTGCGTTTGATAAGCTGAATCAAATTATTGATGGACAGTGTACTGAGATTAAAGGAGAAATACAAAAGAACATTACACACCATTTGGTAAATTTAAAAAGTGAATTCAATCACTATTTTCCTGACTGTGAGGACAAAGGTATTCGGAAACTCATTAAGAATTTTTTCATTGTCAAAGTCAAAGGAATTATTCTTGAAGATTTTTGGAGCCAAAAGGCAATTTCTTTTCCAAATATTTAATTGCTATTCGTTACCTAACTTTGTTTTCATCGACATATCTATGCGAGCAGGGGTTTTCTGCGCTTTTAATAATTAAAAACAAGCACCGAAATCGGTTGGATGCTAGTGCCGACATGCGTTTGGCTTTGAGTAGCACTGAACCAAGGATTCTAGTATATCTGTTACAAGCGATTCCGATGCTGGAGCTTTTGACATATTATTTGAAGACTTAACAGATACTTTGGATATTCTTGAACCTTGCGAAATAAAGTAAAACCGGACTGTCAAGGAATATTAAAACTGCAAAATCTTTTCGAAAAAACAAGCAAGGGGAAATATGTGCTAGCGAATTGCAAAAAAGGTGTTTTTGATAAGGACGCAAGTCAGAAATTAGTGGACATCTTAATAGAAAATGAAGTCAGTGATGATATTTGTCGAAGGTACAAACATAACAAAATGTTTTATTTTTAGGACGCTTGTTAACTTTTATTTTTCAGATTGCCAAGTACTGTACTTAACGCTATAGCAACTAAAATTGTCCAATTATTTTCTTATGAAAAAAAAAACTGTTATTTTTGCATAGTGAATGTTAACGGAAAGAAACTCGGCAGAGTCAAGCTTTTTTCCAAACACTATAACTTAAAAAGGCGATTTGCAAACGTGGGACTACTCCAGAATAAGAAAACACCATCATCATTTATTACGGAAACCCCATCACAAGGTACAAATATAAAATACAAAATTTCAGATAAACAATGTGTGGAATTTTTGTAGATAGTTTTCAAGAAAACGAAGAGTTGATAGTGTGGCTGTCTAACAATATTTCACCGTAAACAAGTGTATTAGAAAACTGCAATAGCACCTGCGCCTTTTGCCAAGACTAAAAACTACAAGCATCAACGAATATTTTAAAAAATTTCTTGCACAAATAATGGGTTCGATGTGGTGAGCAAAATTTATCAGTGCATGTAACTAACCTCTAACACCTCTAACAAGGTTATGTTTTCCTTGTGTTCGTTAGGTGTTAGCAGACTTTAATGTTATGTACCCCGACAAAGAATTCGGACTGCATGCAAATTTAGACAAAGAAATCGCTATAATTATTGAACACTTTAAGGAAACCAAAGTTGCGATAATAAAGAAGTTCTTGAATTTAGTACAGACTGAACAGAATGCTGGTAAGAAAGTTTTATATTGCTATTTATTTATTTTATTCATTGTAACTTTTATAGGTACAAAAATATTAAAGTTTTTTGTATATTTACCATATCTTCTGCCAGTAACCACTAATTTTTTTTAAAGGAGGGGCAGTGCGCCCATCAAGACAGGAAATACAAGAGTCATTTGTATTGCACATTTCTGTAAGTTTTACAATTTAATTTACAACATAAAAATGTAAAAACTTGCAAGCACTTTTGGATTTTATACCGCCAGTTTATCATGAATTCTATAAAAACATGAAACATGATGATGTTAAAAAAAAACCAATGAAAAAAAATATGCCCGTACAAGCCATGAAACCTGGGCCTGGTTCTCGTGCAGATATCGCATTCATCGATGGAGAGGGAGATGAAGATAACAATGAGCTATTATCCGATTATGACTAATAATTAAACCGTATTATTTTCAACTTTTGTTTTAATCAATAAATTAATACATACTTTCCATATTATTTGTCTTATTTTGTGTCGTGTGAGCTTGAGTTAAATAAATTAGTATCTTTGTGCAAAACCGGTGCATCAAAATCATATTTTTTTCCTAAAACAATTTTTTTCTACTTTACCAATAAATTTCTATGATCGTTAGAATTCTATTCCAATTTTCAGGATAAATTTATCTTTTATGCAGAATTTTAAAATTGCAAAATCTTTAGAAGTTTTCTCAAAAGTAGCTTGGATGAACTAATACCCTTTTTTCTCTAACCCCTTCAATTATATTAAACATTTGAACATAAATGATTTAAATAAAACAGGTATTAATGAACCTTGTTTTTTAAACGAAATACCAAGTTTTCATGTTTGTGATAACCTCAGTGTTGACATAATACATGATATGAAACGAGACGCTAAATGCCACTGGCGGCTCCTCTTACTGCGCATGATCGCTTAATTGTAACATAAATTTGCCCATTTTAGTTGGGTTTTTTGCTCAATGGGGCGGGGGGCCCAATGGGGCGGGGTCGGTTGGGTTGTGTTGTTGAGTTTGGGTTGGTTTGGTTTTGGGACGTAACTAACGTGCCTTTAACATTTCGAATCGCGGCACATTTGTCAATTAAGTGATCATGCGCAGTAAGAGGAGCCGCCAGTGGCATTTAGCATCTCGTTGATATGAAGCGTCCAAATGCAAAACCAGACATTTGACATTTTTTTGGTTTAGATATGGATGCTGTATGAAAAACTTACCAGGAATATGATTTTGTGACTCTCAAGTGCAAAACAGACATTCAAAGCAAAAACGAAAGCAGATATTTGCTTTTGCACCAATCCTGGTGTGACTTCCGAGTCGCGTGATCTTGCGATATAGGTACGAGTGTGACAACGTATTTGCGCTTTCATTCACGTAATAGCAACAATACAAATTAATTGCATTGTAGTTTTTGTGAAAAAATAAACATAATTTTGTAAAAAAATTTGGTGCCGTCATGGATAACAACATTACTATTGAGCCAAGTCCTGTTGGTAAAGGTCGAGGTATTGTCGGCAGCAGCTGCCTGAATTTCCGACATGCGGTCCTTAACAAAGACAAATTAATGTTCCGTCTTGACCATATAATAAAATTTAATGAAAGCTTTTACCGCGAGACATCCAAATCCAATCAAGACATGTTTGTATTAAAGCACTGCGTGACAAAGAATCTAAAAAGAGTTGGTACAGTGGCAGACACGGAATTTTGAACGTCATAATTTGGTTGACCATGTATAAATCTGTAAATAGCAAAGATACAATATTGACTTTTTTGCTTTTTCTGCCAAAATGACAAATCTAGTGATAACCAGAAGTAATTACCTTAAAGTTAAGTTAAGTCCATAAAGAACGTCTCAACGGGATTATAGTCGTTCAAAATTCCGTGTCCGCCACTGTACCAAAATTAAAGAAAATGTTCAAAATAAACCAAAGACAGTCAGTGTGAAATACAGTATAAAAACTTCCAAAGGGTTGGTTCCTGTTTGTAAAAAGACATGTGGCGATGCTAGGTATTGGAAAAAATCGAATTTAAAGAATCTTAAAGGAGTATCATGAAACCGGAGTTTTGCCAGCAAAAATAAGAGGAGGTGGCAGAGTATCGCAAAAATCACTTTCCAAAAAACAATCTATAAATAACTTCATCGAATCTATTACTTGCTTTGAGACTTATTATGCTAGGAATAAAACAATTATACGACGATACTTACCCTGTCAACTGAATATAGTCAAACTGTGGAAGATGTACAATTCTGGAGTGGAAGAACATTCTTTTTAAAAGTTAAACAGTGCTTCTTCAGAAATATTTTTGTATGGCAATACAATATTGGCTTTGGGTCACCAAAAATTAATGTATGCTTGAAATTCTTACAATTTGCGGAAAAAATTACAAACCTCCGACCCGCAAGAAAAAAAAGAGTAATGAAAGTACAGCGCGTTCATAAACTGCGAATTAATGCATTTTACGATCTATTAAGGGAAAATAATCCCAGAATTGCAACATTTTCCTTTAGAGTTTAATACTGGCTACAGTGTTTTTCTCCACCTCATATAAAATCTGTAAGAACTTCTTTTGGTCATTCTTTTCTGCCCCCTGACAGAGTATTTACCCAAATAGAAAGAAAAGTTAAAAAATGTACTACTGTAATTGACCCAGAAACGTTCATTAATATTATTAAAGATTATGCTACAGTACTAAAAATGGGGGAAGATTACTCAGTTTTTAACTGGAAAGGTGAGGTCCAAAAAGTTCTTCAAAACCCTGGGTCTTGGCATTTCTGTTTTCAACCATCTAAACGACTAATATTTTTAAAAACCGATAATGGATCCATTATTGTTAAGGGTGAACCATATTACAGGAATGATATTTCTCAGGCTAAAGGCATTTGCAAGAAAGGCAACCCAGGGACGAAGACAAAAAACGCAGACTTTTTGGCTAAGTTAGTTTAAGAAAAAAGAAGCAAGAAACCATTCTTCTCATAGTACTGTGGTCTCATTTTTATTTCTATTTTCTCCCCTTACATTTGATAGTGTTATTTGTGTGTCTATTTTTCTTGCTAAAGTTTTGTAAATTATAACTTATTTAAAACAAAATGGCTCAAAACGATAACGCCATAGCAGCAGCACAACTCAGAGCTGTAAACTATGTATTTTTAATATTATATTTATTATATATAGATTCAATACCAAATTAGGAGGGAAATCCTTATACTTTGGGAGTATTCTTAGAATCATGTCATATTTCTTTGACCCAAACAACCAACAATGTTATGCTAAGAGCGAGGCAAATTAACTGGTAGAGCCCTTATTCTAATAGGTTCTAGGATAGAGTTAACAACTTGGGACCAAATTAAAAATGCTTTAACAACATATTTCGGCGATCAACGTAATTTCGATTGTCTAGTACAAGACCTAATAAAATTGAAACATCATATAATTTTGGAATGAGATGCCAAGATTCTCGAAGTTTAATTACATCTAAAATAAATTCATCAACTTTAACGTTGGAAAAAGTTATTTAATATTAAAAATTATGGCGAATTAGCATTAAAAACATTTGTAGGAAGTTTAACTGGTAACATACAAAATAACATTCGGCTAAGAAACCCTGAGAGTCTCGAAGCTGCAATGGCTCTTTTTATCGAAGAAGAAAATTTCGCATACTGTCAAAATAAATCACATTTTTTTAGTTTACAAGCTAATTATAGACCGACAAATAAAATTACCCCTATAGGGGTAACTCGTTTTTCTAACCAAATTTCCACCCCAAATAGACTCTGTAATCAAGAAATAGAAAACATTTCGGACTCCTTTTAATTTTTAACTACACTGAAAAATATAAGCTGTTGAAACAACAACAACAAAATTAATTCAACTCTTTATGCACTATAAATACAAGCAATGCTTTTGCACGTTAAATAATGTTAAATTAAAATAATTTAGAATTTGCGCTTATGTTCCAAAACGGTTGGGTTAACATTCTAAAAATGTTAAAGTAACATTCCTTAAAGGTTGGTATCCAAAACAAAATTATGGAATTAATATAAAGAGAAAGAATTGAACCTTCATCTCGCCATCACGGCAATTTTATGAATGCAAATTAATTTAATAGTTTTTTTAGGTAATCCTAAAAATTTTAGTATTTGATTCCTAGCTAGCAAAATATGATGAACATTTTAATTCAAATTATTATAATTACTTTATGTTAAATCAATATTTTAACTGTCAAATAAACAAATAAACTTTGACAAACTCTGAGTATTGCTTTGACACCAAAATATATAATCCAGGTTTTTTGATGAAAAAACATTTTTAAAAATGACATTTAGGTAAACGTTTGGTTCAACTACATTATTTTTTTTTTGGTGTACGACACTGACTATTCTAAAAATACCTTTGATAACCAATACGCAGAATATGAAAACCAATACCCTGCAGACTATACTACTACTAAATTCTAATGAATATAAACCAAACAAACAAGACATGTATTTAGAAAATGAACTTTTTAAACCAAATTTAAATGATAATATTTATTACGACCCGAATTTTTAAGCAACCAGCAATCAGAAGAACCAAACATAATAAATTTAAATAGACTTAAATTAAAAAATAAATCCAATTTGCCACATAAATTTATCCCTAATCTAACGCTATTTTTTAATTGATACAGGTTTAGTGACTATTATGAAGGTGTGATAGGTATTACTTAAAACACCTGTCATGTCAATATTATATTATATTACAAATCCGATAAATTCCAAAATTTAAATAAAAGTAATTATTTAGTTTCTATTTCAACTAGAACAGAAAAAGTAATTACAATTTCAGTAAATCAAAAAAAAAATGGTTTAGCTTTACTAAACTATATCAAATTCGATAATCAAGTTGAAACACCTCATTCTTTAGTTAACGTAAATAATTTATTTGCTACCACTACAATTACTAACGCCTCCACATTCCCAGTAAAAATGGGTACAGTTGTATTCATTAAAAAA